TTTGGGTTGTGAAGGTTGAAACCACAAGCTCAGAACAAGGAGAGGGGAAAGGAAGTCGAGTCTTTCAACACATGCTCAGGAACTGAGTTTGCTCTGAGCACGCTTGATGCCCTAAAATGGAGATTTGATTTACATGAAACCGATACACCCGTTTGCTCAAAGATTTAGCGTGGGAACGACACGCTGCCTGTCCATTGTAAGAGAATAACAGAGTTGGAAGGGACCTTGGAGGTCTTCTAGTCCAGCCTCCTGTTTGAACAGGGGACCCCATGCCATTCCAGACAAATGGTGGTACAGTCTCTTTTAAAAAACTTCCAATGACAAGGCATTCACAACTTCTGGTGGCAAGCTGTTCCACTGGTGGATTGTTCTCACTGTCAGGAAGTTTCTCCTTAGTTCCAGGTTGCTTCTCTCCTTGATTAGTTTCCATCCGTTGCTTCTTGTCCTGCCTTTGGGTGCTTTGGAGAAGAGGTCTACCATATCTAGCATCAGGGTTTGCTTAACCTTGGTTTCCTGAACAAGCTACAAGGGGTTCACACAACACACGAAACCCTGCAATGAGTTTTAGGAATGGTGGTGGTTAGGAACTGTTAATGAAAGAATGACATCAGCTTGGAACAAGCAATTTTTTTATTTATTATTATTATTTTTTGCAAAGCTGAATTCCAGTGGGAATTTCCTGGCTGACGAACAGGCGACAGCAAAATAACCATAGTCATGAGATTTTTGGTTGGAAAGTGACGTAAAGCTTAGCTAGTCCTGTGCTGGAGGCCTGGTTAAGCCCCCTGAGCAAAATTGGTGGAGCTAAAGAGGAAACAGTGAGGTCATGTAGCCTACCTCGCAGGGGTTGTGGTTAAGAGTTGGTCACTGTATTGAAGGAACAGAATGACAGAATGCAGAGTAAAAGAATTGAAAGGGACCTCGGAGGTCTTCTAGTCCAACCCCCTGCTCAGGCAGGAAAAACTATACCATTTCAGACAAATGGTTGTCCCAGTCTCTTCTTAAAAACCAGCAGCCAACAACATCTGGTGGCAAGTTGTTCCACTGACTAATTATTCTCACTGTTAGGAAAGTTTTCCTTAGTTCTAGATTGCTTCTCTCTTTGATTAGTGTCCATCCATTGTTGTCTTGCCTTCTGGTGCTTTGGAAAACAAGTTGACCCCCCTCCTCTTTGTGGCAGCCCCTCAAATATTGGAAGGCTGCTATCATGTCACCCCTAGTCCTTCTCTTTGTTAGACTAGACACAGATGGACTGGTGGCATTTAGTAAAATGGTCGAACTCAATGCATGCAATGTGAACTGGATATCGAAGTGAGAATAGACAGGAATCTGATTTTTTTTTTCCTAACAAACAAGCAAAAAAAAAAAACACCAACCACAACATTTTTGGAGCAATTGTTCTGCCTACAGTAATATAGCAGCATGCAGTTTTTTTCTTTCTTTCACAGAAAGATTTCAATTTTAGATTAATTACGGTGCAGTATGCTGATTCAGCTTGCCTATTTCTCTAAACCGTGTTTCTCTAACCACAGTTTATGAAACAAACCATAATTGGCTGTGGCTGCACCCTCTGCTCACCCAAAACCAAATAATCCACATCAAGGATTTAATGCAACATATAAAAAAACCACCTGCAGCGTGCATTGCTGCCCTCCTTTTAAAGTCACTCTGCCCTGTACGAAATATATAATTTGCTCGTTTTCACTTTAATTGAAACGATACTAGCTCGCGTGCTCTTTTCCCCATTAAGCACGCAAGCCTTCGCAATTTAAAAAGCCTAATGAAATAGCCAAAGCTATCATTGCTAAGCACTTCCAAATGTCCACAGTCATTATTTAAATGGCATTATTCATTGAAATATGAATTCTTCCGCCTCGTTAAATGCAACTGTCCTTCGGACTATGCAAACGACTGGTGAATCTCAGGCCTACCTCGCAGGATGGTGGGGAAGATAGAGCAAAGGAGAAAAGAACATGTTGGAATAGGTTAGTGTCACAAATGTGAAGGGACATAGAGACTTCAGTCAATCCAGAGATTTTTTTGGGGGGGGGGGGACTTGGTACTCTCTGAGCTTGGTGGTTTTCTTGCAGACGTTTCGTGACCAAATTAGGTAACATCATCAGTGCTAGAATGGAAGGGGTATGCAGGGAGGAGGAGGAGGAGGAGGAGGAAGGAGGAGGAGGACAACTGTGGTAACATCATCAGTTAGAAGGGTTTGGGGTTTACAAGGAGGAGGAGGACTGTGGAGTCCTTAGTGCTCTCTGAGCTGGGTGGTTTTCTTGCAGACGTTTCATGACCCAACTAGGTAACATCATCAGTGCTAGAAGGGAGTGGGGCTTTGTGGAGAGGAGGAGGAGGAGGAGGAGGAGGAGGAGGGGAAGGAGGAGGGGAAGGAGGAGGACAACTGTGGGCTCCTTGGTGCTCTCTGAGCTTGGTGGTTTTCTTGCAGACGTTTCATGACCCAACTAGGCAACATCATCAGTGCTAGAAGGAAGGGAGTTTGCTTATTCGAGCACTGATGATGTTACCTAGTTGGGTCATGAAACGTCTGCCGGAAAACCACCAAGCTCAGAGCTCACCAAGGACCCCATAATTGTCCTCCTCCTTCCTCCTCCTCCTCCTTCCAAGTGGAGATATCACCAGCAGCCCTGAGAGGTGGGCTTTCTTCCTGCAGGGATTCATCCCAGGCGTTTCATTCCAAGGCCATCGGGCAGGGCCGACTTCTCCTCTCCCACCTGGTGCCTCGCTGCCGTACCAGGAGGAGCAGCCCGGGCTGCACCAAGGTGTAATTCAGCTCCAGGGCGCCCCAGGTGCCGTGAATGATCGCGATAGCGGGAGCCCCACCCAGGCAGGACTTTGGTCTCCCCTGGTGCGGCTGCAGGAACCGGATTAGCCGCACCCAAGGAGCGTAAGGCAGATAGGGCCGAGGACGGCAAGGCCCTGCCCCTCCCAGAACTGAGATTATTACGTTAGAGCCAGCTTGTCTTGCGGGTCCGTCCCTGGGAGACTGTGCCGTGGGTCACGCAAGGCTAAAGAAGCCACCTTGGGCAAATAGAAGGACTGGCTCTCACCAGACAATGGATCTTTGCAACCTCATCAGAGCTTGTCAGCGCAAGGGGCAGCCTGCTTTGCAGTCTTCGGCTTCCGAGTCTGCTTGACGGTCCTCCACTTACGACCACAAGCGTGCCCAAGGTTTTTGAGACTAAGCGAGACCGCTGGTTGCGTTTTGCCATTTTAACCCCTTTTCTTGCCACTTCACCGTGTCAAAAGTCAGTAACAAAGTGGATCCGGCTTCCCCATTAGCTTTGCCGGTCAGAAGGTCGCAAAAGGGGATCGTGCGACACCCGCCCCGGGACGCAGCGACCGTCGTAAATATGAGCCCGTTGCCAAGTGTCTGAATTTTGATCACGTGACCCTGGGGATGCTGAAAATGGTCATGAAGTGTAAAAAAAAGGGTCGTCAGTCACTTTTTTCGAGATTGTTGTAACTTTGGACAGACAGTAAATGAACTGGTTGTAAACTGAAGGTTCCCTCTTATCAAATCTTGTGTGGACCATGATCGTCTCACAAATAGAATAAAAATAGAATATAGAGTAAAATATAGAACAGAAAATAGGAGAATGGGGAATATAGAGTAAAATATAGAACAGAATAAGAATAGAATATAGAGTAAAATATAGAATAGAATGGGAATATAGAGTAAAATATAGAATAGTACAGAATAGAATAGTACAGAAAATAGAATAGAGAATGAGACTACAATAGAGTAAAATATAGAATAGAAAATAGGAGAATGGGAATAGAATAGAATATAGTGACATATAGAACAGAAAATAGAATAGAGAATGGGAATAGAATATAGAGTAAAATATAGAACAGAAAATAGAAGAATAGAATAGAGAATGGGAATAGAATAGAGTAAAATATAGAATAGAAAATAGGACCTGGGTGGATCCATCTGGAGAGGGAACGAAGTGAGGCTGCTTCTATTCAGCCTGTGTGGAAATCCGTTTAGTGAAATGGGAGCTTGACGATCCAGAGAGAAACCTCGATTAACTATTGCTGGAGACTGGCGCCCAACCCCTGAAGGCAGCCTGGTTAGATATTAACTTGATATTAACTATGTTCCAGAAACTTGTTGAGTTTAATCTGCTCCTGCCTGCCTGAAGCTTAAAAACTTCTCAACCTCGGTGGGTGGACTTCAACTCCGAAGGAAATTCTGGAAGTTGGAAGTCCACGCGTCCAAGGTTGAGGATTTTAAGAGGAAAAATCGCTCTGAAAAAGGCAAAACCAGAAGGCAAAATTGTTAGCTCACTCTTCATGAAATACACTGTTAACCAAATGTAGAATTTAAATGAGGATGGGTAAGGTGTTTAAGAGGAAAAAGGATCTAACTGGCCATTTTTTCCCCCCTGTGTAAACTGAAATGGGGCAGAATGCTAACCTGAAAATCCACATCATTTCAAAATTGAAGCCTTTAATTCCTGGAGGTCCAGAGCTGGGAGATAAGACCCTGGGGATTGGGGAGGAAAAAGGGAAATTTTGTCACACCCAGAAGTAGGATTTGATCAAACAATCTCAACCAACTCAAGGCAAGAGATTAACTGTGGGGGTCTCTGAGCTTGGTTAATTTTCTTGCAGATGTTTTGTTACCCAACTAGGTAACATCATCAGTACTCGGTGGTGGTGGGGTGTGTGGAGTGGTGGAGGATTGCAGGGTCCCTGGTGCTTTCTGAGCTTGTGGTTTTCTTGCAGATGTTTCATGACCCAACTAGACAACTTCATCAGTGCTGGAATGAACAAAACCCTTCTAGCACTGACGACGTTACCTGGTTGGGTCGCGAAACGTCTGCAAGGAACCCGCCAAGCTCAGAAAGCACCAAGGACCCCAGTTCAAATATTTTCCTCCATCCACAAGAGATTCACCCCCCCCAATTTTGACGCCAGCCCCTTCCTTCCCCCCTCCCCAAGCCACGCAAATAAAACGACGTGAGATGCTAAAGGTAGAACTTTTTTTTGTTTTATTTTATTACCGAAGGTTCTTGGTGGTGCTGCTTCCATACGTTTGTTAATTCCACCCCAACGTAGAGATGGGTGCAACTGTTTTTCTTTTTCCACAATATTTTATTTGTACACAGTACTACAGACAAAGCACAGAGCTACTATGGCAGTTAAGAAGAGGAAGGGGGAGGAAGCCATCACGGGGAAAGGGGGCTGGGGACGCAGATGCCATTCCACGCTTTCTCTCGGGAAAAAAAACCGAAACAAAACAAAAAAAAACCACACACGTACAGAGACCCATTTAAAAAAAACAACTTTTTTCTCTTTTGTACACACTGGAAAATGGACTAATTCTGGAAATTCGGGTCCCCATTATCCCAACCGTCGGTTGCTTACCGCCATCGTTATCCTTGGAGGAGGAGAAGTGGACCAAGAAAACCAAGGAAGAGACTGAGGAATGGAGACACCCCCTCCCCCCCCTTAGGAATATCAACCCAAAGGTTTGGAAAGGGGGGGAGAGAGAAAGAAAGAAAGAAGGAAGGAAGGAAGGAGTGGGGGAAAAGAAGCTGTAGCATTTGGCAAAATTCGAACAGCAGCCCTGCAGGCCAGCTGTTGAGACAGGAGGGGAGAGCACCAGGCCGGGAAGATGAGAAGGGAAGGGGGGGAAAAACAACAACTGGAATGGAACCAAGAAAAGGAAGGACCCCCCAACCCCCCAACAGTAGCACGGGGCCATTAACATGGAAGCTCCAGAGTCACTGGCACGACAGGGGACCTGGGAAGGAGAGGAGGGGGGGGTCTCACACGGGCTTGCCCTCCAAGCTGACGCAGTTGCCCCCCAGCTTTTCTGCTAGACTCTGGCGGTCTTTGATGTCTTCTAGGCCGTTTGCTTGCCATTCGTGCTTGATGCCTGCGAGGGAGAGGAAGGAGAGGTGAGATGGAGGGGGGGGTTGTCTTAGGGCTGGAAGGGACCCGGGAGGTCTTCTAGTCCAACCCAATTAATTTTTCCCAAACAGCCAGAGTGAGAAACCGGGACCACAGTGATAGAGCTGGGAAAAGCATATAGGTGCACACATACTAAATTAAAAAAAAGAAAGAAATTAGCAGGGTCCTTCAAAATAAAGGCCATCCATGCAGATAGGGATAGGTGCAGGGCTGCACGGAGCCTTGAAGGGGGCGTAAAAATGCTTTCAAGCTAAAAAAAAAAAAGCACAGGCAGTCCTCGACTTACAACGGTCCATCTAGTGACCTTCAAGGTTGCAACGGCCATGAAAAAGGTGATGTTTCACACTTGTGACCGTTGCAGCATCCCTGAGGTCACTTGGTCAAAATTCAGACGCTCGTGTTTGTGATGGTCGCAGTGTCTCCCAGGTGTGTGTGTGTGTGTGTGTGTGTGTGTGTGTGTTTCACACGATCCCCTTTGGCGACCTACCCGACAAGAGTCAATGGGGGACGCTGGATTCATTTAACAGCCGTGGGACTAGCTTAACAGTTGCGATGATCCACTTAACGGCGGTGGCGAGGGAGGCCATTGAGATGGGGCAAAATGCACTGAACAAATGTCTCACTTGGCAGCATACAATGTGGGGCTCAATTGTGGTTGTACGTTGAGGACTAGCCACACAAGTCAGTCAGGGCTGGGAAGGGAGAGCCAAAGGGTTGTCAAGTGAGCCGTTTGCATTTGTTAAGTCAGTAAGACGGTTGTTAAGTGAATCTGGTTTCCCCACTTGTCGGAAGGCCGCAAAAGGGGATCGCACGACCCCGGGAGACACCGTGATCGTCATAAATAGGAGTCAGTTGCCAAGCGATCCCATGACCGTGGGGCGGCTGCAACGGCCGTAAAGTGTGAAAAAAGGTCATGGGTCACTTTTTTCCGGTGCCGCTGTCACTTTGAAGCAGGGGTCTTCAAACTGGGCCCTTTTAGGACTTGTGGACTTCAACTCCCAGAATTCCTCAGCCAGGCACATCCGTGCCTGGCTGAGGAATTCTGGGAGTTGTAGTCCACAAGTCCTAAAAGGGCCCAGAGTTTGAAGACTCCTGCTTTGAACAGTCGCTAAATAAACTGTGGTTAAGTCGAGGATTGCCTGTATTTCATTCAACATGCTTCTTGTTCCTAACCACAAAAGTTGGGCCTCCCTCCAGCCAATGGGGAGAAGCAGAGAACTTTCTCACGCTGCGCCATTTTTATATAAGCCTCCAATGACAGGTGCAAGAAAAGAACAACTTGAGGTGAAGCACAATTTGAGGTCGTTCAGCACAACCTTGGCCATTTGAAGACTTGTGGACTTCAACTCCCAGAATTCCTCAGCCAGCTCGGAAGTCCACAAGTCTTAAAAGTCGCCACGGTTGGGGACCCCTGGTTCAGCGGGGTCCCCCGTCACCCCAAAGGGGGCCCTTTTATGACTTGTGGACTTCAACTCCCAGAAGCCTGCTGGCGCCCGCCCTGCCTCCCCCGTCGGAGGTGCTCGCTCACACCTGCCGGCTCTCACCTGGAAATTTCTTCTTGAGGGCATCCTTGGAGCTGGCGTAGATCATCTTGCTCTTCAAAGGAGCGCTCTCCGGTGCCCTGCAGGGACGAGACAGCAGCATTCACACACAGGGTTGTGTTCCTAGCCTCCTCCCCTGCCAGCTCGCCATTTATTTTCATTTATTAAACATTTATGCTCCCCGTGTCTCCCTACGAGGCGACTCTCTCATGCCGTGGAAGGAGGATTTTCAAAAACGGCCAATGTGGAGGATGTCATTCATCAATAAATCCTCCCCCCCAGTAGCAACAGCACTTATATACCGCTTCATAGTGTTTTACAGCCCCCCTCTAAGCGGTTGACCGAGTCAGCCTTTTGCCCCCAACAATTGGGTCTTCGTTTTGCCGACCTCGGAAGGACGAAAGGCTGAGTCAACTTGAGCCGGTCAGGATCGAACTATTGGCGGTGGGCAGAATTAGCCTGCGACCCTGCCTTCTAACCACTGCGCCACCAGTGATGGAAGAGCAATAGCCTTTAGACTTATCTACCACTTCACGGTGCTTTACAGCCCTCTCTAAGCGGTTTAGAGAGTCAGCCTCTTGCCCCCAACAATCTGGGTCCTCATTTTGCCGATCTCAGGAGGACGGAAGGACGAGTCAACCTCAAGCCAGCCAGGATTTAATTGATGTTCCGGGCAGAGTTAGCCTGCAATGCTGCATTCTAACCACTGCGCCATCCTGGCTTAAATGGGGGCCTTCTCAGGAGAACATTCCCCGAGACCCTATACAACATCCCCCCACCACGAGCCTTGCTGTTTGAGAGATTTAACACAGGGAGCCGAGCAGCTTTGCCACTTTCAGGCTAGGCCTCGTGCCTGCAGTCAAGAAGCGATGCATCTTTAAAATGGAAGCACTTAGAGCAGGGGTCTTCAAACTTGGCCCCTTTGATGACTTGTGGACTTCAACTCCCAGAATTCCTCTAAGTCAGGGGTCTTCAAACTTGGCCCCTTTGATGACTTGTGGATTTCAACTCCCAGAATTCCTCAGCCAGCTGAGGAATTCTGGGAGTTGAAGTCCACAAGTCATCAAAGGGGCCAGGTTTGAAGACCCCTGACTTAAAGGAAGGTGGTCTTTTGCAGGAGAACAGCAGGATGTTGTTTAGACTCTCCCCCGCGCACTCTTTTCGCCCAGGCTCCAATGGACGGGGAGCTGAGAGCGAGGCCAGCCCCAGACACCCCTGTCTCCAAGTCCTCAATTATACAGATCACCCAAGTTAATTATTGTTTTCGCGCCCTGGCGTAACACACTGGGAGTGAAGCTGCCGTCTAGAAGTCTATTCCCCAGTTACGGGAAGGCTGGAAGGGAGAGGCGAGCAGGGCAGGATAAAGGGACCGCCTTCCTAGAGGGCTTTAATTTTAAAGATGGGGAGGGCAGCTCTTGGTGCCAATAGCAGAGGGGGGGGCAGTCGTGGTCCGCATCCCAGCTCGCATGCTGGTGGGAGGAAAGTAACTTCCTGGATGGCACGCGTCCAAGCAGCTTTGATTGCAGAAAGAGGAAGCCACCAATTCAGATAAGAGGCTGGGGGTAAGACGCCAGTCTCGCCCCCCCAGCAAGGGGGCACTCCAGCCAGCTCAGGCCCCTGAAAGCAGGCTTGGTTGAATTGCCACCGGGAAAGCTCCCGAAATAGGGAAGAAAGCAGCTTCTCTGCTCAGAGTATTCAGCCTTCAGTCACCGAGACAAGGGTCTGGGGGGGGGGGAAGGGGAGGTTGGCCACACCTGAAGCTGCCAGGGAGGGAGGGAGGAAGGAGAGAAGGAAAGGAGGAAGGACAAAGAGAGCAAGGAAGGAAGGAATGGGGAGGAGAAAGTGAGGGAGAGAGGAAGAAGAGAGGAGAAGGACAAAGAGAAGGAAGGAGAAAGAGCAAGGAAAAAAGGAAGGGAGGTGAAAGAGAGCAAGGAAGGAAGGAAGGAGAAGAAAGGAGAAAGAGGGAGGGAGGAAGGAAGAAGAAAGGAGAAGGAAGGAGAAAGAGCAAGGAAAGAAGGAGAGGGAGGGAGAAAGAGAGCAAGGAAGGAAGGAGAAAGAGGGAGGAAAAAGAGTAAGGAAGGAAAAGAGAAGGAAGGAGAAAGAGAGCAAGGAAAGAAAGAAGAGGGAGGGAGGAAGGAAGAAGAGAGAAGGAAGGAGAAAGAGGGAGGAAAGAAAGAGAGGAAGGAAGGAGAAAGAGGGAGGAAAAAGAGTAAGGAAGGAGAAAGAGAGCAAGGAAGGAAGAAAGGAGAAGGAAGGAGAAAGAGCAAGGAAAGGAGAGGGAGGGAGAGATCAAGGAGGGAAGGAGAAAGAGGGAGGAAAAACAGAGTAAGGGAAAGAGAAGGAAGAGAGCAAGGGAGGAAGAAGAGGGAGGGAGAGAAGAGGAAGGGGGCCTCACCAGAAGAGGAAGACCAGGTCTTCCTTTTTGCTCTCCTTGGTTTCGTAGGTGGCGTCGTAGAGGGCGTAGCGGCAGTCGCTGGGGGGCAGCATGGCGACGAAGTGCAGGTAGGGGTCGTCGACGGTGTCTCCCAGGTCGCCCACCAGGATCTCCTTCCCGGCCTCCAGGATGATCTTCTTCTTGTCCTCGCTCAGGCAGAAGATGACGGCCTTCTTGCGCTTCTTCTGCTCCTCCTGGGGGGCGTGTTTGCGCACCTTCATGTCATTGAAGACCTGGATGACTTTGTCACAGACGGTGACCCCCGAGGCCTGTGCAGAGGGGGGTGGGTGGGAGGAAAGAAGACACGCTCAGGGGAGACACGCTCAGCGCCGGCCCCCGCGAGGCTGCCACAATACGCAGTCAGAGCAGGGCAATGATGGGTGGAACTTCAACTCCCAGAATTCCCCAGGCAGGTAGTCAACTTACACTCATTTAGCGACCGTTTAAAGTTAACAATGGCATGGGGGGGGGGGAAATGCCACTTCGGACCCGTTTTCATACTTATGAATCCCGCAGCACACACACACACCACAGTCATTGGATTAAAACACAGGCCGTTGGCAACCGACATGCATTTATGACGGTCGCAGCATAACGGCCACGGGTTTTGTTTTTTGTTTTTAAAAAAGGTTGTAAAATCAGACGTTAACCATGGAAATTCTAGCCTCAGTTGTGATCACAAGTGGATGACCTGTACAAGATTACTACAGGCAAAAAAAAGCAGTGGGAGATTGCAGGCACGGGCTAGGTTTTTAAGTCGTGGTTTGCTAAACCAGGTTTATTGAACAAGCCATTGATCAGAAGATTCCCGTAATACGCTAGACTACAAACCACAACTGACAGCTTGGGATGCTCTTCAAAGGTTCTACCCTATTTCACGGAATATTCCAATATTTGAGGGGCTGCCACAGAGAGGGGGGTCAACCCGTTCTCCAAAGTGCCTGAAGGCAGGACAAGAAACAACGGATGGAAAATTAATCAAGGAGAGAAGCAACCTGGAATTAAGGAGAAACTTCCTGACAGTGTGAGGACAATTAACCAGTGGAATAGCTTGCCACCAAAAGTGGTGGGTGCTCCATCACTGGAAGTTTTTTAAGACAGCCATGTGTTCAAAAGGGCACAGGATCTCCTGCTTGAGCAGAGGCGGTTGGACTAGAAGACCCCCAAGGTCCCTTCAGATTGCGATACCAAGACAAGGGTTGGATTGCCACAAAAGGCTGCACCACCCCCACTCTGCCACCTCCTTTCCACCGAGGACCGTTTGGGCAAACCTCGGCCTGGCGGTAACAACGGTGCCGAGCATTGCTAGCTGTGAAAAGGGAACTGATCAACCGAGATCTCACAAGTCTCTCTGTAGAATACCCATTTCGGGATAGCAGCGGCTGAGTTCGCACAAGGTGTTAGGCTGGGCTTAAAAGAGGGATCGGGCTATTTGTTCTTCGGGATAGGAGCCCAGCCAATCGAAATGATGGCAACCAGGCCACAGAACGTGGCTTGTGTGTCTTTAGGCACTTGCATGTCAAGGCAGCTCCCCATCCGTACAATCTTCGTGAGGGCAGGGAAAGTTTGAAGAGTCTGTTCAGGAAACCCAGCAGGATGAAAGGGGGGGCTTCCTCCAGCCGGCTCCATCAAAAGTCTCAACCTCTTTCATTAAAAAGCAGGGCTGTGGAGTCGGAGTCAATTTTGGGTACCTGGAGTCGGAGTCGGCAAACAATGCACCGACTCCTACTAAATTTAGATTGGAATTAAAAAAAAAACCAAGTTTAAATGTCCCAATTCACAAAAAGTTATAATTAATGACTTCTCTACTGTAAGAATAAAGACCAATGCATGCAGTGCCTCACGTAACCGCAAAACGAACACGTTAAGTGACCGTGAAGAAGCATGCTTTTCACGTGCTTCACTATATGGCACGCAACGCACAATTAGGAGCGGCAATACTTATACTTTCCATATAATTAATAAAACTTGGTTGTTTTCATTGTGTTTGTCTTTTGCTTCAACTGTTCAATAACAGTAGACTGTTGGCTTCCCAGCCAGTAGTCCTGTGGTAATGACATGTATGTTGCCTTTCTTTCCTTCAAGGAATGTATAAAATACATTCGCATATTAATGCAGAGGAGTCGGAGTCGGAAGTATAAAAAACTGAGGAGTCGGAGTCGGAACATTTATCTACCGACTCCACAGCCCTGTTAAAAAGCAAAGACTTTCTTCACAAGGACCGGCCGAAGAGGAAGCTCTCCTAGCCTCGCGAGAAGAGCGGTCCAGGGCAAACTCAGCTCCAGAAGCGGCTGGGGAAGAGGAGGCAGGAGAGCGGGGCGTGGCAGCAGCCGAGAGAAAAAGAAAGGAAGGAAGGAAGGAAGGAAGGGAACCGCTGACCGCCTTTGCCAACCCCTGTCTTCCAGATTCCCTGGGAGGAAGGAAGCAGGCGGCGGAAGGAAAAGTACAGGCCGAAGCAAAGAGCAGGTGGCCCGAAGAAGCCGCCAGCTCGGCAGACGGGTGCTCAGGCTCCAGAAGGGGAAGTGGCGCCCTGCCGCAGAAAGAGGGGGGGAGGCGGAGGCTGGCAAACGGGTAGCTGCAGAGACAGAGAGAGTGTGAGATGGAGGCAAAGAGGCACGGGGAGAAGAATTCAGGAGGGGGGAGTTGAGAAGAGGGAAGCCTGGGGGGGGTTTACCATGCACAGAACATAAGAATTACACGGCTGGAAGGGACCCTGGAGGTCTGCTAGCCCAACCCCGCCCCCCCCCCACTCAACCAAGAAGCAAAGAGGAGATGGAAAGATACGGCAGCACTGAAAGGCTGGAGAGAAAATAAGGGGGGGGGGGGGCAAGCAAAGAGAAAGGCCAGCAAAGACCACTCAAAGGGGTCTTTTGGCTGGCTGGTGGGGGGGGAGAGGGAGGGGTGCAGGTGTAGAATTGATGCAGGGAGAGAAGAATGGGGGGGGGAGGAAATCCAGAAACAATAGTACAGCTATGCAGCAATTCCACACACGTCACACTTTGTTCTCCTAAATACCCAGAGGGATANGGGGGGGGGAGGAAATCCAGAAACAATAGTACAGCTATGCAGCAATTCCACACACGTCACACTTTGTTCTCCTAAACACCCAGAGGGATATTCTGTGTTTTATTTTCTCTTCCCCATATATGGAAGTTGGAGCTTGTGATCCCTGGAAAGGTACAGAGACTACAGTCCCCATCAGTAGCGGAGAACTGGGGAGGGACTCACACTCTTCCACGCGCATCACACAGTGCAGGGCTACGTCCCCCCCCCCGCACTCGTGACAGGGCTTGCAGTTCCCATCATCCCCTCCCACGGCACAGCAGCCGGCCCACACCGACCGGACAGGACTCTCCGATCATGCCGGCCCATGTTCCTCTCCTGCCTCCATTGTACAGCACAGCCCTCAAGCGCAGGCGTGCAAAGACACGGGGGGGACATCCTTCTCAGGGATGCATGGCTGGGGATAATGAGCCCCTTGTCTTCCAGCCATCTTGGGGAGGCCGATGAATCCCAGGGCTGGAGGTGGACAATGACTTGGGGTGGGGGGGTGGGGGGGTGGAAATAGGGGGAATACACCACAAAGCCACCAAACTGCCCAACAGCGGGGCTAGTGTCCTGGCAAAGGGGAGAAAACTAGGCAACAATTAAAAAAAATGAGAATTTTTTTTTGGGGGGGGGAACAGAGCCTCTTCCTCCCCCTTTGTAAAGACTATAGGGGGGGAATGAAGCCATTTAGAGGGTACATTGGGGGTTCAGGGTCTTTCTTCCCCACTCTTTAGGCAGCAAGAAAAAGGTGAAAAAAAGAGGACAACTTGGGGTCACCAAATGAAATCCAGCAGGAAATTGGGGGGGGGAGTAAAGATGAGGATAAGGAAGGAGGGGGGAAGAAAGAGAAATGGGGTGATGGGGTTGCATTTTGGCTTCTCCCCCCCCAAAAAAAATCCAGGGAGGCATTAGGGCAGAAGAGGGAGCTGGGTTAAAGGGGGGGGGAGAGAGTCATCAACGGGGAGGGAGCGAATTCCTTCCAAGGTGGGGGGGGGCACAGAAGGGGCCATTGGGATACATTTCCCCCCCCATGTTTGGAGGGGGGGGAAGGAGACCATCCCCAAATTGGGTGGAAGAGAATAGACGGGAGAATAAGATGGGGGAGGGGGCACAAAAGCCATGAGGATACTCATTCAGTTCCCCCCCCCACGACTTGCAGGTTGGGGGGGGAAGAAAGGAGACCCCCCCCAGACACACAAGTTATCAATGGGGGGGAAAGAAGGTATCGTCCCTTCTAAGGTGGGGGGTCATGAGGATACTCCTTCAGCCCCCCCCGACCTGCAGGGTGTGTGTGGGGGGAGAGAAAGAAAGCAGCCCCCTCCCCCAAATTAGGAGAAACCGGTCTGGGGGGGGCTGTGAGAGAAAAGGCACTGAGGAAGAAGATGGGGGGGCACAAAAGAGGGGCACAGACGCCCTGGGTGGGGGGGCAAGGAAGGAGACCCCCCCAGAAATTGGGAGAAGCAGCTCCAAGGGGGGGGGAAGAGGGAAAAGGCCCCGGGAAAGGGGATATTGGGGGGGGCTTGAATGAAACGCCCTTAGAGAAGCCAAGATACTTGGGGGGGTACAACGGCCTCCCCCCCGCCGCCTCCCCGAGGAAGCCCCCACAAAATGGCGGCCGGCAGACAAGATGGCGGCCTAACGTGCGGAGGGGGGGTGGAGAGGGGGCGAGCGGCGGGTCTTACCATGGCGGCGGGCGGGCGAGGGGGGGGACAAGGACGAGGCGGCGAAGAGAAGAGGGAGGCGGCGGCGGTGGCGGTGGCGGCGGTGCTCTCGGCGGTCCGGGCGGCTTCCTGGCCTCGTCAGCTCCGCGGCGGCTTCGACTGTCGGCTGCGTCTGGCGAGGCCCGAAAGGAACTGTGGCCCCGCCCCGCCTTGGCCCTTCCGCTTTAAGGCACCGCCCGAGGAGGAGCTTCTTCCGGTCTGGAGGCGCGCGGCCTGCCGGGAAAGCGAGTCTCTCCGCCTTCTTTCCGTGCCGCTTTCTCCCTTCGGAGGAATGGCGTTCGGGCGCGCGAAGGGGGCGTGGTTGCCATAGAAACGGGAGGCCTTCTCATTGCCTTCCTCCCGGGCGCAAAAAAACCCCCCGCGAACTATTGTTATTTTTTTTTTAAATAAATCAATCAATAATTATGTATATTGGTCCCGCCGGGAATAACTAAAAACATAAAACGAGCTGTCTTTTGTCCCCACGCCTTTCTCCTCGTGGGCTGTTGAAAAGGCTCATGGGAAGTCGCCTCTTGGCCCGGGGGTGCATGGGAAATGTAGTTTGAAGACAGTGGAAAGGGAGGAAGAAGAGAAACTGGGGGAGAAAGTGAATTAATGAGATTTTTTTTTTTTTTTAGATAAGATAACCTTTATTGTCATTTTTTTTTTACTGTGGGCACAATGGCACACGTCAAAAATGAAATTTGCCCGCTTTCAAAGTGAAACACACCTAAAACATACTATATACAACGTATGTATAGACCCACACCCCTACATATACATAACAAATACATATTATTATTATTTTAAAGGAGGGAAGATGTCACTCGAGGCTTATTTTGGAAATTAAAGACTTTCCGGATTATCTGCCAAATTAATTCCTAAATCTTCATGTAAGATGCTGTAAACTAAGCTGGTGCAGAGCCTTCCAATGGCCTTTTCCTTGCTAAATAGTGCTTGGTCTGATCCCAATCCCGCTTTACAAAATTGTAATGGAGACAAGAGGGGAAAATATTTTATTTTTCTTTGTTCGACTTTTTCTCCCAACTTGATTTTGCAGTTCAAGAGGCCAAACCTTCTCTTTTGAAATTATCCAATGTGTATTTAAAAAAGCAATGGGAAAACAATTATAATGGAAGAGCAGTATTTTACATTAGAAATAAGAACCCACCAAACAGGGGAAAGGCAGCTTCAAAAATCATAAAACATTTTTTTAAAAATTGTTGGGGTTGAAAAGTGCAGGGGTTTTTTTTATATAACAAAGTTACTTAATCCTTTATTTTCACCTGAAAAATCATTTTCATGATGACTTGATCATAAGCAAAATCCTCTCTGCTCCAAAAATGCAAGAGCCTTTTTTAAAAACATAAACTGTCAAAAGGAAGTAGGCTTTTATTGATCGGCTGATGGATTAGATTTCCACCAGCAACTTCAGGAGAGCAAAACAGCCCACTTAGCAATTTTTATCACTACAGGACCACAACTTTCACTGCGGCAAGAGCCGAAAAACCAGCTTCTGCATTGGCCCACCATTGCTTCAAAAGGAAAGCATTAAGCTAATGCTTAATCCAAATTAAATTGTTTTCCAGGTTGCCTTGAAGCCTAAATGAAGAAAACAGGCTGGGCTGGCAGAGGAAAGGAAAAAAAAAAGACAACCCTGATCAAGATAACTCTAATAGCATGTTTTGCAAATGCATTTTGCAGGTCTTTTGCAGTGAATACAGATGATTCACAGCTAGTCCTCAACATACGACCAAAATTGAGCCCAACATTTCTGTTGTTAAGTGAGACATTTGTTACGTGAACCTTGCCGCATTTTACGACCTTTCTTGCCACCGTTGTAAAGTGAATCACTGCAGCTGTTAAGGTAGTAACCCGGTTGTTAAGTGAATCTGGCTTCCATTGACTTTGCTAGTCAGGTCACAAAAAGGGGGCACATGACCTTTATTATTATTATTTAATAATAATAAAGTTGGAAGGGATCTTGGAGGTCATCTAGTCCAATCCCCTGCTCAGGCAGGAAACCCTATACCACTACAGACAAATGGCTGTCCAGTCTCTTCTTAAAAACGTTCAGTGTTGGAGCATTCACCAGTTCTGGAGGCAAGTTGTTCCACTGGTTAATTGTTCTCACAGTCAGGAAGTTTCTCCTTAGTTCTAGGTTGCTTCTCTCCTTGATTAGTTTCCATCCTTTGCTTCTTGTCCTGCCTTCAGGCACTTTGGAGAATAGCTTGACTCTCTCTTCTTTGGGGCAGCCCCTGAGATATTGGAACGCTGCTATGATGTCCCCCCTCATCCTTCTCTTCATTAAACTAGACATCCCCAATTCCAGCAACCGTTCCTTGTATGTTTTAGCCTCCAGTCCTCTAATCATCTTTGTTGCTCTTCTCTGCACTCTTTCTAGAGCCTCAACATCTTTTTTACATCGTGCTGACCAAAACTGGATGCCGTATTCCAGGTGTGGCCTTAACCAAGGCCTTGTAAAGTGGAATTAACACTTCACGTGATCTTGATATAAATAAATATGAGCCGGTTGGTTGCCAAGCGTCTGAATTTTGATCGTGTGACCACGGGGATGCTGGAAAGGTCATTAACTCTGAAAAACGGTCATAAGTCACTTTTTTTCAACGCCGGTGTAGCTTTGAACATTTCACTAAGTGAACTGTTGTAAGGCAAGGACGGCCTGTCCTTTTTGGAGAGGGGCAGAGCGAAGCGAGAACCGGACTCTTAACAACGACTGAGTATAATTCATCCTAAATTTAAAAAAGTAAATAGAAACGAAAGATGAATATCTTTTTCACCCATTGCTCTAACTGGGTTAGAGAATACGGATTTTCTGGAGATGTTTTGCCTGAGCAATGGGTGAAAAGCTGGCCACAATGACGAGGGTTGGCCACAATCCAGTATATATGCAACTAAATCAGCTCTCCAGCTCTTCAATGCTTGAGGGGAGAAAGCTTGAAAGGTATAGAAAGAAAGACCGCGTAGCTTTGCAGCTTTGAACCCTTTTTGCAAAATCCCCCACAGCCTGCTAAGAGAATTTAAAGGGGGGGGAAGGGAGAGAGAGAGAGAGAGAGAGAGAGAGAGAGAGAGAGAGAGAGAGAGAGAAATACTAGATTTTATTTTGGAAAAGAAGAAGCAGCAGACATTCTTTGAGTGAGAGAGAGAGAGAGAGAGGGAGGGAGTAGGCACTCATAAATTATATGCCCTTTTTAGGGGAAAAAAAAAAGACAAGAGAAAAAAGTTCTGGTTTGCCAGCAGGAAAATTGCCCAGCTTAAAAGTGCGTGAAGCAGAAACAAGCATACCCTAAATACTTTTGAAATTCACAAAAGCCCTGCCTGAACATCAACCGAGTCCCACAATCCAGCTTCATCACTCTGCTGGGGTTTCCTTAGTTACCTCTCCTTTTTTTCTCCTTTGACGCTCCACCCTTCTTTGAACCAGGATAAAAGAGCGGGGTGGGGGGTGGGTGGGCATGGAAGAATGATGCTTTGACCGCGATACCCCCCCCCCCCAGCGTCTGGCCATCTCTTAACCTGGTTCAAGGCTCAGCCATGCACAAGCAAGCTAACCTTGCACGGTTCCGATCTTGGGTACTTTTCAAGATGTTATATGCAAAGCTAAGCCAGCCGACCTGGTTCCTTGAGGGCTGAGTCGGTTCTCTGAAACCAGGAAGTGGGGTAATTGAGGAACCGAGTGGAGGTATTTGAGCCCTGCTGTGCAATCATTTATTTCCTAAGCCACGGCCTCTGCCCGGTTTATGAGTCTGGGATTTTCCACTCTGTTTTGTTCACTCTCTTCTCTCTGCTCTTCTCTTCTCTTCTCTCCTCTTCCCTTCTCCTTTCCACTTCCTTCTCTTCCCTTTCTCCTTTCCCTTCCCCTCCCTTCTTTCCTTTCTTCCCTTTTTCTTCCTTCCCTTCCTTCCCTCTTCCCTTTCCTCCCCTCCCTCCTCTTCCCTTCCCCTCTTCCTTCCCTTCCCTTTCTCTTCCTTCCCTTCCCCTCCCTTCCTATACTTTCCTTCCTTCCCTCCCCCTTCCCTTTCCTCCCTCTTCCTTTCCTTTCCTCCCTCCTCTTCCCCTCCCTTCCCCTCTTTCTTCCCTTCCCTTTCTCTTCCCCTCCCTTCTTTCCTATTCCTTCCTTCCTTCCCTCCCCCTTCCTTTCCTTTCCTTTCCTCCCCTCCCTTCTCTTCCCCTCCCTTCCCCTCTTCCTTCCCTTCCCTTTCTCTTCTTTCCCTTCCCCTCCCTTCTTTCCTATTCCTTCCTTCCTTCCCTCCCCCTTCCTTTCCTTTCTTTTCCTTCCCTCCCCCTTCCTTTCCTTTCCTTTCCTCCCCTCTTCTCTTCCCTTCCCCTCCCCTCTTCCTTCCCTTTCTCTTTGTTCCCCTCCTCTCCTCTTCCTTCCCCTCCCCTCTTCCTTCCCTTTCTCTTTGTTCCCCTCCCCTCCTCTCCTCTTCCTTCCCCTCCCCTCTTCCTTCCCTTCCCTTCCCTCTTTTCTTCCCTTCGCTCTTTTTCCCTTTCCTTCCCTTCCCTTATTCTATTCAACCTGCTTCTATTCTCCCCTCCCCACCCCCACACTTCCTTTGTTTCAGCAATCTGTATTCTCGTGGGGAAGGGGCAGCCTTTGGAGTTGGGGTTTTTGCTACAGGTAAACAACGGGGGCTCCACCGCAGAACAAGAAGACCAGCCTTCTCTCCATCTTCTGGCTGACCCACTCCAAGGCAGAAAGGCAGAAAGCTGCACAACCTACAGTTAATTTTTTAATCCGCTGCTGCACAAAGAAAAGAAGGGAGGGGGCAGAGCTGGTGGAAGGAAGCGCTGATCCCCTTCCCCTTTCTTAAGCACCACTGCAGTTTTCTAAACAGGGAGTCTCCCCAGTGGGGAGATTAGCACCCCTGTTCTTCCCCACATTGGCAAAAGGCTCACAGACTCCAAACACAGAATAGAAATCAATTACACTGTATATATTTTTTTATTATTAAAAAAAGCAGAATTCTCACTGTCCAAGCAGAGATGGGAGAAAGAGTACCGTTTTATACCTCGGGGCCAAA